GAGAGAGAGAGCGATAGAAGTTTGGTTGTCACTTACCTGTGAAGTGCGCTATGCAGTCCCACGATGAAGGAAGCGGCCATAGCGGCGAAGCTTGTACCACGGAGTGACGAAGAAGGAGGATGTGAGAGAGGACAGAGGGTGAGGATGAGAAGGGAGAGAAAAGCCATAGCCGAAGAGGAGAAGAAAGAGACGATCGAAAAAAAAAAAAAAAAAAAGAGAAAAAAGACAGCCGGAGTGAAGAGAAAGGTGGCGAGGAAGGAGAAAGGAAGGAGAAGGGTGGTGAGGAAGGAGAAGCCGGCAGCCATAGCTGACCAGCGGAGTTGACCGGGAGAGTTGACCAGATGCTGACCTGGTGTTGACCGGGGTTGACCAGGTGTTGACCGAAGGCGTTGACCGGCGTTGACCAGGGTTGATCGGAGGCTGACTGCAGCATTGACTGAGCGTTGACCAAGGCGTTGACCAAGACCGTTGACCACGATTTTGACCAAGCTGGCGCCGGTATCATCTCGCCAAGCCTTCAGCCTATCCCCTCGCTCTATGGATGTGCACACACCCTGTGGTACTTGCTGAAGTCAAGTTTGTCTGTCTCTTCTTTCTGCATTGAGTCTCTTCTGTCTAGGTGTAGGAACTTTGTGGATGAAGGATAGGGCCTCGTTGACCAAACCCCTGCCGGACTAAGTAAGGCTAAAGACTGTGTCTGACGACTCGACTGTCCCGGAGGACACGAACCCTCCCAAGGACCGGTACAGACCGGCGGGCTGCTCGGTGTGGCACGGTAGGCCCGAAAGGCGGAGTTGTGGGCTGTACAACAGGCAGTCTAAGTGTTGAGAGACCTGCTGATCGCGTCGTCCTGTTTGCGACGTTAAAAAATTCCTGAGGAGTTACGGGGGATCTCCTTAAATGCCTCCTGATCAGCAACAGGTCTAGTAGTGACAGCCTTAGAGTAGGTCCAGGCTAGTGACCATAGTTGACAGGATCCTGTCCGGATTCTGTAAGTCTTAGATTGAGTCAGTAGGTGAGTCAGTCGGGGGGAGTAGAGTCTACGTGGGGAGGAGTGGAACCGTTGTCTGGTTGTGCACCTTCCACCATGGTTGACACCCGTACAGGGAAGAGTACTGCCCCCTCCGAGGCTGAGCAAGCCCGGATTGCCGCCCTTCTGAAAAAAAAGAGAGAAAAGAAAGAGAAGAGGGAACCCCTGAAACAGGCGAAGTTAAAGGCCATTGAGGAGGAGGAGGCGACAAAGAAGCAAAGATTGGAGGAGGAGATGATGAGATTTCAAAGGGAGAAACTGATGTTGATAGAGAGGGAGAAAGAAGAAAGAAGAAAGGCTGCAGAGGAAGAGGCAGAAAGAGAGGAGGAAGAAGAAAAGGAAGAGCCCCTTGAGAGAAGAGGCAGAGAGGAGAGAGGGGAAGTCAGTGGCACGAAGGAAGATGACGGATGGAGGGAGAAAAAGATCAGCGAATGGGTGGCTAACTTATCGTTAGGAGAAGATGAAGAGGCACTATTGTATGTGCCGCAGGAGGAGAAGGAGGCGTTTGCCCAGACATTGGAGATGATACACGATCATGTGGAACGCCAGGAGGCAGAAAATGAGAAGAAGCTGGAGCGGAAGCTGAAATTGATGAGGGAGAGGAAGAGAAGGAGGGAGGAAGCCAGTCGAATAGCCGGTGAGGTTGAGCGTGTGCGAACCAGAAGGCAAGAGATGCAGGCCCAAACAAAGGTCTCAGCCAAGTTGGATAAGATGATGGGCTTTCTGGAGATCTTGAGCGAGGCCTGGCTAGAAGAGCACCAGGCCCGTAAGGGCCAAGATGTGATTCTACAAGCGATGCGATCTGGGTTTAGGGAGTTTGCGGGTGACGTGGTGGGCCACGTCGGGTCTGAGATTAGAAGACTGAAGGACGACGTCAAGTAATTCTGCGCCGGAGCCATCGAGACCGCCAAGGTTGTGGCTATAACAGAGGCCACGGCTCGCCCCCGCAAAAAGTCTGTCAAGTTGAAGTTCCCTGACCCATATAGCGGGAAAAAATAAGAAAATTTCGATAACTCGGAGGCCAGTATAAATACCTATGTCTTCCTACAACATATCGCCCCCGAGGAGCAAGTCCTCGTTGCTTTTCACGCTTTAAAGGACGAAGCAGCTAGCTTCGCCAGGTCTCTCGCACGTGCCGCAAATTGCGAGCACAACATGATTGCATACTCTAGACTTACCTCCCTCGCTATATTCCTTAGACTCCTACGTGAGAGGTTTGCTGACGTCACTAGAGGCGTCAGGGCCTCTGACAAATTGCAAACCACCCATTCACGGCAGTGGAGGAGTGCGAGAGCACTCAAGGCTGCCATGGACGACTTGGTAGCTGTCCCAGACCACGGGGTCACTGAGACCCAGTTGGTCCAATTGTTTTATCGTGCCATTCCAGAGCCCTTGAGAGGGCACTTCTTTGACAAAAGTCAACCGCCCACCATGACATATGACGTGTTGAGTAGGGAGGTGGTGTTGTACGAAGCGAAGTCCATGCCAGTTACCACTTTCTGGCATAAGGACTTAGACAAGGGGAAAAAGTGGAAAGGCCGTACCATCTCTAGCCAGGTCAGGGCCAAGGATCACATGATCCTCACGTTAGAGGAAGGTGGTACAGACGAGGTCCCGTATAGTCAAATTGAGTGGGGCCTCGAGGAGGAGGATAGTAGCTTGGGACATGGGAGGTCCTATGCTGCTGTCGCGGCTGGAGGGAGGCCGCAAGGTAGAGGAGGAGGCCAGGGCCAAAGTGGCCAGGCCATGGGAGGCCGAGGATCGGGGCCACAGGGGGTTGGTGGTCAAGGGAACCGCCAAGCGGGAGGTAGGGGTCAAGGTCCCCCGCCGAATCGTCAAGGCCCCAGTCGGTCCCCATAGAGATGAGGTGGTAGGTCACCTCAAAGGTCAGGAGGTTGGCACCCGGGCTGGCCACAAGGCTGGCCCTGGGAAGATTTGGGCCTGGAACAGACAGTATGGCAGTAGCGGATGGAGCAGGGGCAGTGCATTTACTGTGGTGACCCTGCCCACATCATAAAATATTGTCCCAAGTATAGACAGGCCCGTTGGGCTGCCCAAGAATCAAAAGGCAGCCACCGATAGGGGTTGCAACTGCCCCTACTACTAGGCCATGTGGGAAAGCGAGCGCGCGCGTAGAGGAAACTCCCACACCACATGTGCCTTCGGCAGAGGTTGCAGGCTCGTGCCTAGTTAGCTGTCCAAATACTGCTTGTGTCAGCGTCTCTCTAGGCACGTCCCTCACAGGCGTGGCAGAGGAATTGAAGGAGAGGATGCCTGCCTGGGCGAAGATGAAGAAAGATAGTAAAGGGAAGCTAGTTCTAGTAGATGTAGAAGTCTTCAGGAGTAGAGTTGGGGCCCTCATAGACTCAGGGGCTACCCGTAGTTATATTAGCCGTAGGGCGCTGAAAAAGTTGAGGCTAGGATTGAAAGTCCAGAAATTGGCAGACCCCATAGTTAGTGTCCTCGCAGACAACCGCACAATACTAGTTGAGGACTACGTAGAGGGAGTCCAGGCATACTTTCGCCTAGAGAAAGATGAGAAGGTAGAAAAAGTTCTCCATTCCCTGACTCTCCTCGTACAGGATGACCTTCCGTTTGATATTGTCCCAGGTATGGACTGGGGAGAGGCAGCAGGGGCCACACTTCACTTGAGAGAGCATGAGTGTAGTCTCCCTAGTCCGTCAGGCGAGATTAAGACAGCCCGTCTATTCCATGTATCAGGAGTACATAACTCGCTGGCACACTCCTGTCTCAGTGCTCCCGCGTTCGCACGGTTAGGGAAAAAGGAGCAGTTAGAAGATCAAGTCTTTGTAGTGTATGTTAAACCTGTCACTGAGCCTAAGGAAGAGGTTAGTTCCACAAATCCAGCCATTGCCAAGCTGTTGGAAGAATTTAAGGACTTATCTGAGCCGCCGACAGGAGTAGTGTCACAGTCGATCCAGCACAGGATAGAGATAGAGCCTGGCAGTCGAACTCCTAAGGGAGCAATCTACATGATCTCCCCTAGAGAGTTAGAGGAGCTGCGCAAGCAGTTGGACGAGCTCCTTGAGAAAGGTTCGATTAGGCGCAGTTCATCTCCTCTTGGAGCACCTGTCTTGTTTGTCCCCAAGAAGCAAGGCGAGTTGCGCATGTGTATAGACTACAGGGGTCTGAATGCCATCACAGTTAAGAATGTTGAACCACTGCCCAGGATAGACGATCTTTTAAATTGGGTGCAGGGTTGTAAGTATTTCTCCAAGATAGATTTGAAGTCCGGTTATCATCAAATACAGGTCCATCCTGATGACCAGTACAAGACTGTGTTCCGGTCTAGGTACGGGCATCACGAGTTTATAGTGATGCCCTGTGGACTGACCGATGCGCCAACGACATTTCAACGATGTATGAATGATTTATTCAGGCCTTGGTTAGATAGGTTCGTCATAGTATATTTAGACGACATCCAAGTTTTTAGTAGGACCCTCCAGGAAAACCAGGGTCATCTGAGGCAGGTCTTGGAGAAGCTCAGAGAAGCTAACTTCAAGATTAACGCGAAGAAGTGCGAGTGGGCCAAGACACAAGTTTTGTACTTGGGCCACGCATTAGACGGAGATGGAATCAAACCTGAGGACAGTAAGATAGCGGCAATTAGAGACTGGCCGACGCCCCGCACATTGACAGAGTTGCGGTCATTTCTAGGCTTAGCCAACTATTATAGGAAGTTTGTGAGGAACTTCTCAACCATCGCCGCTCCCCTGTGCAAGTTGCTAAAAAAAGAGGCAATCTGGCAATGGGATAAAGACTGTACACCTACACTGAAGAAACTAAAGCGCGCGTTGATAGAGTATCCTGTCCTCAAGGTCACAGACCCGTCTTTGCCATTTGTCGTCACCAGAGACGCGAGTCAGTATGGAATAGGCGCCGTATTGTAGCAAGATGACGATAATGGCTACAGACCCGTAGAGTTCATGTCAGCGAGGATGCCCTCAGAGAAGGTTGCTACCTCAATGTATGAGAGAGAACTCTACGCTCTCAGGCAGACCTTAGAGCACTGGAAGCATTACCTGCTTGGGAGGCACTTCAAAGTGTATTCGAACCACGAAACGCTTAGATGGTTAAAGACACAAGCCAAGATGACACCTAAGTTGACGAGGTGGGCCGCTGAGATAGACCAATATGACTTTGAGCTCAAGCCAGTGAAGGGCAAGTACAATGTAGCTGCGGATGCTCTGAGTAGGAGATCAGATTACTTTGGAGCTATAGTTCACTATCTGGACATAGGGCGTGACCTGCAAGAGAAAGTTAGACAAGCGTATGCGCAGGACCCTATCTATAGTGACCTCCTCAAGAGAGTTAAGGAGGACCTAGAGACTGAGCCGCATTACCGCACTACAGGGGGGTTGTTATTTGAGAAGACTGATGTGGTAGACCGCTTATGCGTTCCCAACAACGAGGAGATTCGCAGTCTGATCTTAGGGGAATGCCATGATACAGAGGGACATTTTGGTTGGCAAAAGACTTTAGCCAATCTTATGCACGCGTACACATGGCCAGGACTGAAAAACGACTGCATAGAATATGTCTGCAGCTGTAAAGTCTGTCAGAGGAGTAAGACTACTACGCGTGCCCCTCTAGGTCTTCTCAGACCCTTGCCTATTCCAGACCAGCCTGGAGATTCAGTCTCCATTGACTTCATGGATGCCGGTGTCAAGAGTAGGCACGGAAAGAGCCAAGTCATGGTCGTAGTTGATAGATTTAGCAAGTATGCTATTTTTGTCCCCTTGCCTGCAGAGGCACGCACAGAATTAGTGATACAGAAGTTCTTCGATTTTTGGGTTAGTGAACATGGAGTCCTATTGTCCATAGTTAGCGATAGAGATAGTCGCTTCACCAGCCAGAACTGGCAGGAACTCATGAGAGTCTATGGGTCTAAGTTGTTGATGTCGCCCGGCCGCCATCCAGAGACTAATGGTCAGACAAAGCAGATGAACAAGATCCTGCAGCAAGTTCTGGGCATGTACATTAGACCCGATCAGATCAACTGGGACAAGATGTTACCCAAGGTAGCCAGTGCATACAATAACAGCGTGCATTTGTCCACTTGTCGCACTCCCAACGAGTTGCACAAGTCCTTTAGACCGCATAGGCCGTTTGAGGGACTGAACCGGGATCAGATTCATAGACTACAGCCCGGTACCAGGGAGTTCGCGATACAGCACGAGAAAGAGATAGCGACCGTTGTTGAGAACCTCAGGAAGGACCAACACCGGATGATAGAACAGGCTAATAAGCATTGTCGCCCATCACAGTTTCAGATAGGCGACCTGGTCTAGGTCAAGTCGAAAGAGTTTGCACCTGAGGAGAACATCTCGCAAAAGTTATTGCCCTCATATAGAGGACCGTGGCCAGTTCTAGAAGTAAAGGGCGGAGAGGATGGGCCGTCCTACACAATAGAGATACCAGCACACCTCCACACCTACCCCGTGTTTCACGCATCAAAGTTGCTGCCATGTGTCACAAGTCAACAGTTCCCATCTAGACGATCCATGATCCCTCCAGACATGGACGAAAGATATGACATTGACGGCATTGTAGGTGAAGATGTGTTCAGAACCGGAGGTAGAGGTCGTCCGCAGAAACAGTATAAAGTCCGGTTTGCATATCAGGAACCAGAGGATGACCGCTGGTTCACGAGATCAGAACTGCTAGAAACAGCTCCCGATATAGTTAGAGCCTATGAGAGAGATCAGAGAGGTAAAGGTCCTGCCTTGGACTGAGTTATTCTCGGAGGACCTCGAATTTAGGCCGGCGGGAGTGAAACTGTATTCACCAGTTCGCAGTAGCTGATGCAGATCCCAGGGCTCGATCCCTAGCACCCACCTTACCTGTGTACAGTACCTGTGTCGCCCCGTAGAGTTGAACCCGCG